GCTGTAGGTGACCCTGCTTCGGCAGGAGGGTTGGACTAGATGACCCACAGAGGTCCCTTCCAACCCCTACTATTCTGTGATTCTGTGATTCTGTGATGTTTCCTAAGAGAGGGGGCAGACTACGCCTGGACTTGCAACTTGTGTGCAGCTCTTACCTGCAACATTCTGATTGCTTTTTATCATGAATGTCACTGTTTCAAGTCACTGTCAGCTTCTGTGAATGATGCTGAGGCATGGAGTGAGGTGTGCTGTGAATGTGGAGATCTGCCTTGTACACCATTCGTTGGAGGAGATTCTGGCTCAGCTGGATCCTGCTAGCCTGGGAAGGAGGCCACAGCTTGCCAATTGCTTTTCTGGGCAGCACAGGACACACACATCTTCCAGCAGATAAGAGTTTTGCCCTGCTTTGCAAATGAGACAGTTAAAGGTGTGGGTTACTTAATGCAGCTGCTCCTGGGTAGAAGTGTTCTTCTGTCTTACCTGGGGAGTCTGCGTATCATGTAGGCTAAGCTACCACTCAGGCTTGTTGCTTGTGGTTGATTACTGCTGCTGATGCTCACAGGTGCAAGAGAGATAAATGGCTCTTCACCACCACCGAGAGAGAGGAGTTTTGTCACTTCCAACCTGAGCATTCCCCTTGCAGACAGGAGATGTTGCTGGAGAGCAGCACTGCCCTTCTTCAGAGCCACTCTAGTGCACAGAGCTCTGACTGTGTAAGGGCTGGGGAAGGGGAAACGTAACGTGCCTGCTTTCAGTACTGCTCCTAGCCAAGTTCAGAGGCAGTCTTTCCTCCCTCCTGCAAGGAAAGTAAGGGGCTTAGTTAGGTGAGGTGACCATGCCTGTGCTGAGTCAGGGCGGGCACATGAAGAGCTTCCAGGCGTAGTCTCAACTTAGGCCACCCTGACCTCTGTTCAGGCTCCAGTCTGATGGTGATGAGCTGCTTCCTTGGAGTCCTTTCTGTGCCACTTGCTGTATCTGAGAAGGCTGAGGTTTATGCATGGTGGGCATTTACAGGAGAGCTTTAATCTGCAGGCAAGTAGCTGAGCAGGGAAAAGTGTCAGGTTTCCTTTTGAGATGTTTGAAATCCATATGGTCCCTTCTCCAAGGATTCTGGTTGTGATCATGATGTCTTGGTTCTCTTCTGCCATTCTTTTACTCTGCACAGCAGGCTGAAAGGGGCACCCTGGTGCCACTGCCATCAGCACTGTGTGCCAGGCAGATGGGCCAAGCTCTAACCCTCTGCATTTCTCTTTTCATTGCAGATGGCGCGCCCGATTCAAGTGAAACCTGCGGACAGCGAGAGCCGTGGAGGTAGTTGTCATCTCTCCTTGTTTCCCCTTTGGCGGCTTTGGGCTTGTGGGGGGGTCCAAGCAGAGACAGGGTCCTGACCTGGCCTTCCTCTATCTGCAGTCTATATGAAGGGGTGTTTGCATGTGACAGGGATTTCGGGGGTCAGGAGGAGAGTCTAGAGATAGACTTTGATGGGGAGCCTTCAGCTTGGCACAGCAGGCAGCTGAGAGCACCCCAAGTCCTAAGGGTAATTACGTGGCTGCACACTCCACTCTCTTTCCCAGCCCTTTGAGGGTACTATTAGACTGACAGTGTCTGCCCCAGGAGGTTACTGAAGCAGGCATGCACTTTGGTGTATGGCACCAGGGGTCCTGGAGGGTGTGAGCAGCTGGGAAAAGGTTTATTCGTCATTCTTTTACCTGATCAGCCCAATAAAAGCCAGCTCCCTGCAGCAGCACTGGCTTTTTAACCTGTTCAGCTCGCTGCTCTGTAGCTGATTCTCCTGTCTGCAGGTCACTCCTCTGTCTCCCCCATCACTGTTGGACTGTCTCACCCTCTCTACTCTCAGTCCTGCAGCAGCCCCCATCACACAGTCAGGGTCCAAGTGCTGTTGCAGAAAATAGCATGCAATGGGGAAATAGTGTCTGAAGGGAAAGGATCCTGAGTTTAGGCCTGAGATAGAAGTGCTGTCAGCCTGCAGGGGACCAGCTTGGTTAGAGCAGCATATAGTGAGTAGTTCAGAGCTGGAAGATTGGGAACAGGACAATCTGTTGATTTAATGGGGAGCTCACAGCAGCTCAGATGCCTCCTCCAGGTGGAGAAGGTTTGCAATTCCAGCCCTTTCCAAATTTATGAGCTTGTGTTGCTGCTTTTTCTTGTCTTACCGATACATTTCTTTTCCTCTTCTCATTCCTGCATCTGCCTCTCCATGCCTTGTGCTGTTGGTGCTGCCTCTGAAAGCAATTTAGTAATGGGGAGGGGAGAATTTGTGTGAGACAGTTTGTCCTGTAGGGCAGCATATCCTGCATGCTGTGTTTAGATTTGGCTTTTGTTTTGAATTTTAAGGGGTCACTTCCAAGCAGTTTGTAGTGACTTTCAATTATTGCACTGGCAGGAACATGAGATACATTTTATAATATTTTATATGAATGTGTGCATTTATGGTTGTATGAGCCTCCTTAAAAAAAAAAAAGTTTATGTGTTTAAGTCAGATCATTTTTCCAGATAGAATCTGTGCCTTTTTGTTATTTACTTGAGGGATAAGACAACTGACTTTTACTGAAGTCTGGACATTTTTATTCCCTTGGGCTATACTGAGAATCCCAGACATGCCACCTATAGACATGCTCCTTTTGAAAAGAACTGTGGCTTAAGCCTCCAAAGAAACTAGCATGCCTAAAACACATAGAACTGGATTCATCTCACCTTACTTCAGTCCCTGGGTTCAGGGTTGAGTTTAAGGTCCTTGTCCATGCTATAGACAGTAAAAAGAGACCAGTGCCTTCAGGGTGATTCACTCTCGAGACTGAAATTAGGAGTGGATGAGCTGTCCTTTAGAGATGCCTGCAGTGGGGATAGAGGAAACTGACTGCTCACTGACACCTCCTATCGCCTCTAGATACAACCATTAGGCGGTCAATCATTCTCCCACCACGCTGATTTTAAAAATTTGCACCCCAGATTTCTATTTAATTCAGAAATTGTGTAATTGTATCTGAGGTTATTCCTAACGGGTCTCTCTCAAAAAAAACAGGAGACCTCACAAAAAAAAAAAAAAAAAAAAAAAAAAAAGGCAGCATAGGAGACTAGGAAAGCCTTTGTCAGTTGTACCAATAACTCAACATCCCAAAACCATTACATGTGCACGCTAGCAGATCCCATGCACTCTCAACCTGTAAGACAGCTGCATAGCAATCCTCACAGCCAGCACAGAGACACACACACTAGCAGATCACATGCACTCTCAACCTGTAAGACATAGCTGCTTAGCAATCCTCACAGCCAGCACAGAGACACAAGCAGATGTACCTGCAGATGGATGTCCCATGTGTGCACTGCTTTGCACATACATACATGTGCCCACTTGACACACGCGTTCATACCACTCACGTGCAGCTGACACCCCTGCATTAACCTCACACAACAGCAATAAAACCAGACCAAACAGACAATTCAGGCTGTGAACAGACCGACCACTGCAGCTTTGTTTTCTTAACAATTTGTGTCTCTCTGATGAGTGCCACTCGAATCTCTGGTGTCTAATACTAGGCTGAGGTCATTTCTGCAGTCTTTTTTTTTTTTGCTGGTGGGGCCCTCTTGTCTGATACACAGCCACCTGGTATCACAAAATGTGTTGGGACTTAACATCTCTGATGCCTCAGATCCTCTGTCAAATCAAGCTGAAATAGGCCAACAGGTTCAAAAACAGGATGTTGATTTGGAGGCAAGCTTTTGGTCAAGGCACCGGACTGTAATCTCGAAGTTTATGAAAATTGCCACAATCTCTAATGACTGCAAATGTCGGGGCATCAGCTCTGTTTCTCATGGAGGAAGTCCATGGGGTTATCCCTACAGCAACAGCCCCACACTGGCAGGAGGTAAAAGAAAGATTTGGGGCAGGTCAGAACTGCTTGGACTAGGAATTTGTCAAGGGAACAGCTGCATGCATCAGTGAAGCTCCACTCTGCATTATCCTTGAAGCGAACCTCTTTTCTCCCCTTCAGGGAATGACATCTCTCAAGTTAAGCACCCTGAATTAAGTACATGAAGTTAGAGCATCACGATTTGTCTCCTGGTCTAAAAGATGCTGGTTTTTTGTACCAAAGGGGCAGTTTGGGCCAAGCCCTGCAGGGGCTGTATGGGGATATCTGGATGCTCAGCGTTACTGCACCCTGCAGGAGGAATTCATTACTGAGAAGGTACTGCCTGCAGTAGTAGTTCAGGAGGGGGACCTGTAGTTCTGGCACAGGCTTTGTCAGCTATTTCCTTCTTTCCCTCATGTCTCTGATGTGAGCCTAGGAGTGCCAGAAGGAGATGGAGTGAGGAGGCAGAGGAGCTTGTCTATGCTTCTTGTGAGACCTGGAGCACTCTGGTGCACTGGTGTGATATGACAGCTAGCCCAAGTCCATTAGCACTGCCTTAGAGACAAGGAAGCTCTGCACACCCAAAGAGGTTTGCTGTGTCCCATCCATAGCCAACTGCTTGACCGGGCTTCCTCCTTCTCCCTGATCCTTGCTGCTGAGAGCTGTTGGCCAGATAACCTAAATCCACTGGGTTTAAAGAGGAGCAGTGTCCAGTGCTTATGTGTTCTCTGCTCTCTCTTGTGGCAGAAGCATTCAGCCTTAACCCCTTGCTTGTTCCCGTGGTATCTTCATCAGTGACCTGCTCTGCACTGCCCTCGTCCTGCTGCCTGGGTGACCAGCTGTGCCCAGAGCATGTTTCCATGGGAACTCCACAGTCAGAGATCAGAGACAATTTTCCTGGTTGCTGGACAGCATGGGAAATCGCCAATCAGAAAGTGAAAAACAAGCGCTGGAGAGAAAATGAAGGAAAAATGGCATGAGGAGAGTGTGCTGTTACAAGTTGGGGAGAGAAGATCTTCCAGCACTGCAGGAGTCCCTGCTCGGGAGCCGGAGGAGCCTGTGACCCGCAGCAGTGGCTCGGGAATGCCAGCTGATTTGAGATTGACCACTTTAAGAGTGGTGACAGCAGACATCAGGTGAAAGGGCTTGCAGGGATTTGTCTCGGTTGTGGAGAGATGAGGCAGTTTGGTTGTTGGTAGGGGAATGCCCTTATTTGGAAGGGCTCCAACACATGGAGAGGGAGAGATGTCAGCAGCAGAGGAGCCCTTTCAAAGGTCCCCAGTTGCTGCAAAGAGGCATCCTAGGGCAAGAAGCCTGGATCCTTTTCCTGTATGCAATCTTGGGAACTGGGCGGTATGAAATGAAAATAACTGTGAAAAAATCTTTCTCTAATGCTGTCAGTGACTTAACCCCCTTCTAATATGGCCATTCTGGGCATTCAGAAAAGATTCAAAACCAATTGGAGCATTTCTTTATATTTGCCTTTACAGCTGGAGTCCCTAAGATAGCACAGTTTTAATCTGTTGTGCATAGCCAGGAAGATTGGCATTGTTTTCATCCAAATTCAGAAAAGAAAAGCCAAAATTCCCACATAAACACAGGACTTACAAAATGTTCCATTAGTGAGCCCTGTCAGACCGCAGACCTGCAGTAAAGCTGCAGCAATGGTAACTAGCATTCACTGTTTCAATTCACATTTCCCAAAGTGCAAGGTAAAGAAAAATGCTTTTCATCCAACAGGAATGGTATGAGGATGAAACCACAAGCATTATCCAGGAAATTTCAGAGCCCTCTCAAGCAGACAACAACTAGTAACTCATAGTTTAATGTTGATTTGATTGCAAGTTGACAAGGTTCCTTTTTGTTCAGTGCCTCCATTGCAAAGTTGTGGCCTCTTGCATCCCTTAGACTGTTGCTTGGCAGAGACAAGCTTTGGCTGGCTGTAGTAACCATCAAGTCTTTGCACTGAATTAGTTAGCAGACAAAACTGGAACCACTTAGCTAACTCACCGCTGGTTACCCACTATTCTTCTGTGAAAACCTCAGTTTACACAAAATCAGATCCAAAAGCAAAAGGTCAATGTTATAAAAGTAACATTGCATCTGTGTAGCTGTGTGTTCCCCCCACCTAGAGTTCCAGCTTTTTTAATGTCTACTATAACTGACTTTCACAGTTGTTGACACTCCGCTTGCCACCCTGGCCCAGACAGCCTGCTGGGGACCTTAAAGAGCAAGGCAAGACCATCAAGTGCCTTTCTGGCTCTTAAGTCTTAGTCCACAACTATTTGCTTGTTAGTTCAAAGAACAGAGGATTATTTTACAGCATCTAAAGTCAGTACAAAGATTTCCTGGTGTGTTTCTCCCCTTTGTTGATGTGTTTTTTGTGGAACTCCTGCCGTGTTTGTGATCCAAGGGCTGCAGCATGGTGCACATATCTGAAAGGCCTGGCTGCAGCTGCAATATAGATTCAGGGTAGAGGACCAGGGAGCACTGCAGAGCTCAAGCGTTCCTCCCATAGCCAAACTGGGATCACGTATGGCACCAGGTGATGTTAACGGGAGCACAGAGCTGCTGCTCCTTTAATTTCCATTCTCTTCTCCACCTGCCAATAAATATGTTCCCAACCAGTCCCACTTTTTTTCACTCACCTTCCAGTGAGATTTTTCACCTTTGCTATGTGCTATTTTTCAGCTGGTTTGCCCACCAGCATTTCTGAGCTGGCCCTTGGGTGCTGCTAAGAAGGAAGCTGTACAGCTTCTGTGCCTTGGCTGGGGATTATTTGGCGTTGTCAGAGCACTAAATTTTGGATGGACTCAGTCAGCTGAGATAGTATTTCCAAAATGAAACCATTGTCATGCAGGTGTAGGGAGAAATGTGGAAAGAATCACAAAGAAAATGGAAGGGGATGAAATTCCCACAGGTTTAGTTTTCCAGGGAATCATGAACATGGGGAAGCCGGGAAATTTGGCCTTTCAAAAATACACAAGGCCATATATTTCAGCCACTTCCAGTGATATAAATCAGGAATATCTGTTTGGGACTGGGTAAGAGCCTTAGATGCAACACTTTGATCCACCACAGATGAAGGGTTAAAAGTGTTGCATCTGTGTTGCATGTGCATGTAGTGCCTAGTGGCGAGCTGTGCGTGCATGATCTTGTGCTTGGGCTCTGTGGGGTGGTGCAACCATACAAAGTGGCTCCCTGTGGAGTCAGCATGGTAGAAGGGTGCATCTGTCTGCGCATCGCTCTTGCTCTCTGAAGAAGTTTGTTTCTGAAGGCACTTGCTGGCGCTGGGTCAATGTGCAAGTGTGTTCCTGCATAGGCATGCATGAGCCTGTGTGCTTGTCCATTAATGTGTGTGTGCATCTGCTTTTCTGCAGGGGACCAATGACACGTGTAGATACTTCCTGCATGTGTTCCCAAGTGTGTCTGTATGTGACAGAGCAGTGGGGGGGAGGCAGCTTGCTTACTTACCTGGGTGGGAACCATTCTCTGAGCCAAGGGGAGCAAGGAAGAGGCTGGGAGAGGGGGGCTTTGCCAACAGTGTGAATGTATAATGTGTCGTCCATTCCTGCCATACATACACACCACCACCCCTGCAGCCTGCTCTGCTGCTGTAGCTCCAAGACCTGTTGTTTTTCAGGTCACTGCACTCTCAAACAGATAGCAGCTTCCTTGCTATTTTCCCTGACTTGTGTCACATTACATGGGTTTTGTTTGAAGCCAGCCCCTCTCATTCTGTCACTAACAATAAGGAATCTTCTCTCGCTGCTCTTCCCAAGCCGTATCCTGACACATTTGCTCCTATGGGTCATGTCTCCCCATGCACTTTTGGGGCAGTGGGGGAGGATTAACTGTAGTTGGCACAGCTGTCTCTTTGGAAAAATGGAGATTGGGCTGGCATTTAGGCTGGGATCTTAATGTTGTGCTATTTTAACAGCTGTTCACAGCAATCTGTGGAGGATGTTGCCCCAACCACTGCTGTATTTGTGCTTAACTGGATGGCATCTGGCTGTGTGATGGGCCCCTGTGTATACTGATGGGAGTAGACAGGGGGAGAAAACACTGTGCACCTTTCTTACCACCTCCACACTTGGCCATCCCTACAAAACCATAACCCTTACTTCTCACTTTTGATGGAGGAACCCAGAAGGACTCTGAGCTCAAAGTCCTGGATGTTTTGGCCAGCTTTCCAGCCCCCTGCCAGTGTGACATGGGTACAAAATGCCCTTGGAGAGGGGGGAGTGGGGACCATGGAGCTGTTTGTTGGCCCTCACCCAACTGTCTTGCATTTGACTGATCCTATGGTGAGGCAAATTGGGACCCAGGATGCCAGGGTTTATTCCAGGCCTTAGAGGACAGCTTGGTAGATGTACTGCTTAAACTGGGGTAGGGAAGAACAAACTGAAGCTAAGATGCTTGGTTACATAGCAGCTGTGGAAACAGTGATCTTAGAGAGAAGGAAAAGGAAACAGAAGCCAAGGGTCCTGGAATTTATTCACCCTGCCTGGCCTGGTCTGCTATATTTCGTAAGGTACCTCTTGGATTTCACGTATTGTTCAGTAAGGATATAATTGCCGAGGCAGTTTTTCTTATTCCATTAGTGTTGGATCATTCAAAGGAGAGGGCTAATGAACAGAAGGGAATTATTAATTTTTTGTTTTTCTTTGGGGATGATAGGACAGGGGAAGCCAACAGAAACCTTTGCAGGTGTGAGGAGCTTGGGAGGATGTTGCATACATACTCACCCCTGGAAGCATTTAAGCCAACAGCAAATAATTTCCACACTAGGCATATTTTCAACTCTAGGCTGTTTTGTGCTTAAGTGTTCCTGTCATCCTGCTTTGGACTGTAAGCCTCATAGAAGTTTGATGTTTCTGTGTTTGCTCTTAGGGGACAGGAAGCTCTTTGTGGGCATGTTAAATAAGCAGCAGTCTGAGGATGACGTGCTCCGGCTCTTTGAACCATTTGGGGTCATTGATGAATGTACGGTGCTCCGTGGACCTGATGGTAACAGCAAAGGTGTGAACCCCTCTGTCTGTCATGCCCTTTCTCCTTGCTCTTCAGGTAGCGCTCACCTGCCTCTTCACCTGTGTCTCCTTTCCTCTGGGGCACTTACTCCCGCACCCCATCTTTGTGGGAACTCATATCACATCCAGGCATAGGGAGCAGGGCAGGAAGAGTTGCCTGCTGCAAGGAAAGATTGGGGAAGATGGACAGAGACCAAGGTGAAAAGAGCAGAAGCAGAGCACGATGAGTAGCTGAGTTCCCAGCATCACTAGTGAGCCTGCTGGCTCAGTCTGGATCTGCACTTTGAATTGTTTGTACCCACAACTAGGAGTGCACAGAGAATTTGGGGAAGAGGTAATTAGGGGCAAGGGTGGAGATGGTGACATCATCTATAGAGTATATCATTGAAGTAACAATTTGAGACCCTTCTTGTTCTTTTCCAGGATAGGGGACGTGGGATGAGTCATCCTTTTTGTTCCCTGCTTTCTTGGGGTGGCTTTCCTTTGCCTTTGCTGAAATCCAGATAGTGTCTCTTGCATGATGATGCAAGGGGCACTTTCACAGCAGTCCTGTCACTGCAGTCTCCTGTGCTCTTTCTGTCCCTTTCCAGGCTGTGCTTTTGTAAAGTTCTCATCTCATACAGAGGCTCAGGCAGCAATCCACGCGCTCCATGGCAGCCAGACAATGCCCGTGAGTATGAGGCCAGGGTACCTACACTCTTCCTAATCCTCTTCCCATCACCCTGTTGCAGGAACCTCCCCTCACTGTCCAAAACTATGACAGGTTCAACTCCAGTTTCCAGCTGGTGTGGTTGTGGGGGGAGGGGGTTGGTGTATGTGTCTGCACATCTGTGCTCTTGTCTTTAGGAATCACCCTGTCTCCCGGGTTGGTGCGTGTATCTATGTTTGTCCAGACTGGTAGTGACAGCACTTACAGCTATAAAGGCTAAATAAGAGAGAGCCAAGAACCAGGCCATGAATTTGTCTTGGAGACAGCTACCTGGAGTAGTTCAAAACTGATTGGGGTGCAAGCTAACAATTCAGCAGCATGAGCAGTCAGGACTCCAATGTCTGAGCACACTCCCCACCTTCTGTTATTTAGGCAGCAGAGGAGGTTTCTGGGGCAGACTGGGTGTGGATGGGAACGCTTTGTGCATTGTGTGGGGTTGTCTAGCTGCAGCTGTGCCTTCTTGTGCAAGTGGAGCTGCAGTTGTGATCTTGTCTCTCACAGCCTCTTATCTGGATTGGGGCACCTTGTGGGCCGGCGAGTGGAGTGCTGCAGCAGGGCTATTGCCAGCTGCTGGGAACTGCTCTGCCTATCCAGCCAAGCTCATAGTGGTGGAAAGATGGTGCTTGTGGCTAACAATGTCCTTGGTGTTCCTGGCTGTACCATCACCTGGTGAATGCAGCAGGGATGTGTGCACCCAATTGTGCAGCTGTGCAAGGCCCAGGGTGCGAGGGGAAGGGTGGGATAGGGACGGGTTGGATGCACGGATGGGTGGGGAAGGGCTCAGCCCAGGTTCCAGGCAGCTCCCACGCACTTTCATGCCAATATTTGCTCTTCTGCTCCTCTTCCACTCCTCTCTGCTGCCTCTTCTGCCCCATCCCACCTTGCCTGACTGCTGACTCTCCGGCTGTCCCGCGGCCTCTTCTCCCCCTGCCTCCTCTCTCTGTCTCCTCTCTCTGTGCCTAGGGTGCCTCCTCCAGTCTAGTGGTGAAGTTTGCTGACACAGATAAGGAGAGGACCCTCCGTCGTATGCAGCAAATGGTGGGGCAGCTGGGGATATTCACTCCATCTCTCACCTTGCCGTTCAGCCCATACAGCGCATATGCGCAGGCTGTGAGTATCACGCGTGTGTGTGGGGGGGGAAAGACTGCCCTCTTGGCTATGGGGCAACACCGTACCTGGGCTAGGAGACCACAAACAGGTCTCTGTGACAAATGCATGAAAGCTTCCCGGCACCTGGGAGCTGTTCTAGCTTCAGTTTCTCCAGTCAGCAGCCTAGTCTTTGTGCATTTCTCTCCTGGAGGGGGTGACAGGAGAGAGCTGGGACTTTCTCAAAGTGAGTCTGGGTTTCTCTGATGTGGTGTAGACTGGGTGTAGACTGGCGGAGATGTCTGGGAACAGGTCAAGCACGACCCAGTGTCTTTCTGTCTTGAGGACAGCTCAGAGCTGTGATTCCTGGTTGATGTCTGCCAGACATGGCAGTCTGCCAACTTGTGAACTCTTCTTCTGGGTCTGTAGCACAAATGTGTGTCTCTCTTTGTTCATGGAGCACCATGAGACCCCTGGGCCCAGCTTCATGTGTTTATCCCTCTGCTGAAATTCTCAGGAGAGCCCTAATACCTCCAGTGCTGTCCTTGGTTTCCAGGGTTTTCTCTCTTGGCTAGTGTGGCTATGGGGTATGTAGGATGCTGGAGAGAGAGCAGTGGGTAGCAGAGGGTCAGAGGTGTTTCAGCAGTCTGGCCTCCTCTGGCAAGACTGGCTGTGCCTTGAATCTTAGTGAGAGAACCTCATTGCCTTGGAGCGATGGTGGTGATTGCCACTGATGTTTCAGGTAGGTCCCAAACTCAACAAGTCCCTGATCAGCTGTGGTGGAGAATCTTTTGAGTCTTCTTGGTGCCTGTCACTTTCGGATCTCTACTACCAAGTATAAAGCCCATGGAAGGAGGCTCAGAAATTGCTCAAGGCATGAGAGATGCTTGTGTCTAAGAACTCAAAAATAGATACTGTTACTGAAAGTAATTTTGC